TTATCTGGCAAAACTAAATAGAAATAGCCGGTTCCCAGACTGTCTGACAGACTCAATTAAATACATTAACTGGTGACAAAAGCTGTGCACATGGCCCAACATGGCTTTGTCTGGTCTACTGACTGTGGTGTAGATCATTTATCAAGCCTCTAACCTGCTGTAAAGCTTGTTTAGCTAGCTGAAAGCCACAGTGGTGTACTACTGAGATATATCTGAGTTGGTGTGCCTCATGTTCCTATAGGTTATTATGCTATACATGGATCTCTTACTGCCCCCACACACACCCTTTGTTAAAGTAGCATAAGCAAGTGTTCTTTCTGTTGAGCTGCTTAAAAAAGACACTGTGTGTGTTTCTGTGCGTTGGAGGTGGGCGTGAGGGTTGGACGGAGGCATGGGGGACACAGCAGTGTCTTAAAAGGTAGGGCTGCAAAAAAGGGAGGAAATTAGTTTGTGCCTCAAGAACAGAGAAGACAAATTGAGGAAGTGTTCTGTTAATGTGTAGAGGTCAGCAACAGACATGCAGGTTTTTGCCACTTGGGTGGCCTAGCCAGTCTCTCACCCTCCAACACGCTCAGCCCTCCAGCCCCAAAACCACCCACCTACCCTGCACCCACCCCAAAAGTCCCAAACTCCACCCCACCACACACACTCCACCTTTGGAGCAGAGCGGGTGACTGCCTCTTTTGCTCCAAGCCTTGAAACTTCTCATCCCTCTCCCCCTAGCTGTCATTTGGTCAGTGTGACCAGGACCCCGTATTGGCCTGGAAGTCAGGGCAGGGTACTCCTCCACCAGAACTGGTGTCAACCAGCTCTCTCGCCTAGTCTGCATCACAAATGGCACCCTATTCCCTATTTAGTGAACTACTATTTAGGGAATATAGTGCCATTTGGGACACAGCCTCTTGGAACAGCTCCTGGACAGTATTTATATTACCGTCTACATGTCGTCTCCATTGGCTTCGCAAGGACCACTGCACTTATACTACTTCCTGTAACTGCCAAAGGCACATTAAACCACTGCCTGCCTGTTAACATTAGTATCTTTATTTGGATTAGAGCCTGCCAACGTTCACGGCTCGCCATGCAGCTGAGCTGACACAGAGGTACGGAGAGGTGTAGACAACAATCATAAACAATAGCAGTGGTACATCTAGAAGACATTAAACATGGAGATTCAATTTCTTTTCATCACTTTGAAAAAGTTCCCAAACTCTGTTGAGTGACCACTCTAATTAATTTAAGCCTTTATAGTCTGTCCATGGTGGTGGGGCCTGTTTTATCATAGTAACAAATAGCCCTATGGAGACTAAGCCAGAGACGAGAGCTGATATATGATCTGTTGGATGACATCTGATCCCGAGCCCTGGAAAACACAAGCATCTGTCACATTCGGCCCAGAGAGGTGGGGACTGACACTGAACACAGAGCTGGTTAGCTCCTAACCTAACTAGCACAGCCACGGGGACTCAGGAGTTGGCTGCTTTATAAATATACAAACCTGGCTTTCAAAAACAACCCATGCCAGATCTCATAAACTGCTCTCAGGTCAGAGGCTGCTGAAAGGGTTAAAGTTTAAAACAGGAAGAAAAATAATTCAAAATAAGTTATCATCTTTATTTTATGGTTACCATTTATCTATGTATGCAAGTCTTTTAAATGGCCACAAAATAGTCCTTCTAAGATTGTGGATGGCAATTTAGATTCCCTCCCCAAATTTTTTTGAAGAACTTTTCTATCGGGACTCGAATCTATTTTCTATATGAAAAATATAAAAAAGCAACAGTGGTGTACTTCAGTTACTTAAGTTATTATTCTAGCGTCACTAATGACAAAAACAAAAGAATAAAGATGAGAAAAGACAGACAAGATAATTACTCTGCCAATGACGATAAATGACTTTATTGGTCATGGACACAATATGAAGCAGGCCACTGTAAATCACACAACAGACTTAGAATCTTCCTGGAGATCTGTCGTCGTTTGTGACTAAGGAACTTCAGACCTGTAATTTAAGAAATGCGCTGGCGAAGGTTTGCAATAAATCTTTGGACAGCAAAGAAGAAGAAATAAATCAAGAGAGCAACTCCTACATTTCTAGCAGTTTGTGAACGTGGGAGGGATTGTGTGTTACTTGATGAGATCTCACTGGGTGGTCCAGCCCACCATTTTTGTGTACAAATAAACTTAACCCCCATTGTGCTGCTCTGGTCCTCTGCTGCACCACACGGCACGGACACAGACTACCAGGCTGTGTAGTCGTGTGAAGAAATGTATGTATAGACGACAACACACGGACCGAACAAACACCTAACAAAACTTTATAGAATCACCCAGAAACAACAGACAAGATTCACACAAAGAACACCACTGAAACTGAGCCTTGGGATAAATAAAGTTGCTTTTATTTGGACACAATGTAAAAAAAAAAGACAATGGAGATGGTGGGGTGATGTGTGGAACTGCCTGGTGGTCATTTAGTTTGGCTCACTGCTGTGGTCTGTTGGATCGGTCAATAAGGTGTCGGTCTGGTCGATCTCCCCGTGGTCTAGATCTCCATCAACTGGTCAGTTCCAACGATCACCTCGTTAGTCCTTTCAGCTGCAGATGAGAAGAAACCACTCACAATTAGACATCTGAGTTAGAAGATTATGAAACTTTGTTCTTCTGTAGAACCTAGTATTTGAGGTGAACTGTATAATTAAGCAGGCCTAGGACCCCTAGACCTAGCGAGTGGTTAATTGGTTTCGTAAAACAACAGTGTTTGATAGACTGAAGTCAAGTTCAGGTCTTTGAAGTGCTTTTCAAGCAGAAATTAAATGTCACAAGGCAGTTAACATGCTCAACTCAGACAAAAAGTATACAGTGCCTTGCTAAAGTATTCAGAACCCCTGGATTTCTTCACATTTCGTGTTACAAAGTGAGATTAAAATGGATGTAATTGTAATTTTTTGTCAACAATCTACACAAAATCCTCTATTGTCAAAGTGGAAGATTATTTATATATTTTTTATATAAATAAAAAGTTACTAACTAAAATAGTCGTTGCATAAGTATTCAGCCCCTTTGTTTAAGCGAGCCTAAATTAGTTCAGGAGTAAAATGTAGCTTAACAAACCACATAAATTACATGGACTCACTCTGTGTGAAACAATCGTTATTGACATGATTTTTGAATGACCAAAAATACAAATATGTTTTATTGTCACACGCCGGATAGGTGACTAATGCTTCCTCTGTCCCCCATACACACACATCTGCAAGGTCCCTGAGTCAAGTTCTGAATTTCATACACAGATTCGACAACAAAGGCCTTATAAAGAAGGGTAGATTGGTAACAATAACAAATCAGACATTGAATATCTCTTTAAGGATGGTCTACTTAATAATTATGCGGTGGATTATGTATTAAACCACCCAGACACATCAAAAGATACACATCAAAAGATCTGAACTGAGCTTAAGGACCCGAATGAAACTGCTCAGGGATGTTACCAGGAGGATATTTAAGCAATAAGGTCAGAGGGGGTGTGGTATATGGCCAATATACCACGGCTAAGGGCTGTTCTTATGTACGACGCAACGCGGAGTGCCTGGACACAGCTCTTAACCGTGGTATATTGGCCATATACCACAAACCTCACAAGCAGTAAAAATAATTTTGGGTCATACCCATGGTATACGGTCTGATATACCATGGCTGTCAGCCAATAATCATTCAGGGCTCGAACCACCCAGTTTATAATGGTGATTTTAAAACAGCTACAGAGTTCAATGGCTGTGATGGGAGAAAACTGAGAATGGATCAACAACATTGTAGGTGACTCCACAATAATGACCTAAATGACAGAGTGAAAAGAAGAATACAAATATACAAAAATATGCATCTTGTATGCAACCAGCAACGGAATACACTTTTTGGCCTAAATGCAAAGCTTTATGTTTGGGGCCAATCCAACACAGCACAGAGTAAATGCCTCCTTATTTTCAAGCATGGTGGTGGCTGCATCATGGTATGGGTATGCTTGACGTCGGCAAATACTGGGGAGTTTTTCAGGATAAAAATAAACAGGACGGAGCTAAGCAAAGGCAACATCCTTGAGGAAAACCTGCTTCAGTCTGCTTTACTCCAGAGACTGGGAGAGGAATTCACCTTTCAGCAGGACAATAACCTACAACACAAGGCCAAATCTACACTGGAGTTGCTTATCAAGAAGACAGTGAATGTTCCTGAGTGACCAAGTTACAGTTTTGACTTAAATCTGCTTGAAAATCTATGGCAAGACTTGCTGTCTAGCCGTGATCCCCAACATCTTGACAGGGCTTGAAGAATATTAAAAATAATAATGGCCAAATATTGCACAATCCAGGTGTGCAAAGCTTTTATATACCCAAGAAGATTCACAGCTTTAAATCGATGCCAACGGATTTTCTAACATGTACTGACTCAGGGAGGTGAATACTTATGCAACAACTACATTTTAGTTATTTCATTTTTATTTATCTTAAAAATAATTGCATTTTTCTTCCACTTTGACAGAGTATTTTGTGTAGATTGTTGACAAAAAAAAGGCAATTCAATCCATTTGAATCCCACTTTGTAACACAATAAAGGGAATAAATCCAAGGGGTCTGAATACCTTTACAAGGCACTGTATATTTTCATAATGTGCCAAATCATGCTCAATACAGATCATACACATTTGTAGGATTTCAACACTTTCCCTCTCAATGACAGATGGACCAGGATTTCAGGACAAAAACAAGGTGATTCCTTCCCTCACATAAGGGCGATGCCTAACAGTCTATTGAAACAAACACGAGGAGAGCCTGCTATTCATCCAGAGCAACACAGCTAATCCAAACTAAACTGTGGGGAATGTGATTCATGATCCATAAAAATAAATTTGAGTGTGAAGGAATCCGAACAAAGGCTCTGTTTTTGCATTCAGAGTTTGGAGGAAAGAGAAACAGAGCATGAAACACCAGGAGAGCAGTGTATTTCTAAGACACAGTGAGGTAGAGGGCGAGGAGGAGAGGAAGAGGAGAGAAGAGTGTGTCTGTGTCCCTGAAGCCTGGAGAACAGTCTGCTTCCTTTATGAAGCAGCAGCAACACCTGCAGAGTCCCACCACCACCTGAATGCATGTGCAGTCAGCAGACGTTTGTCTGTCTGTGGCTGCCTGACAGGGTGGTCTCTCTCCACAGACACTTCCATCTAACTGCTTCGTGAGCGGAGGCGTAATGCTTTTACCAGCCATGCGCCTCATTTATCCTCTGACGACAGAGGTGACCCACCTGATACGGATGGTGTTCAAAAGCAAACTGAGCCCCGTGAGGAGCAACTGCTCTTTGCTTCATATGGATAGCATTTCTGTAAAAGAGAACCCACTGTTCACAGTATGCACGTAATATTTATGTATACACAGTGGGCCAATAGCTTGGGGTGATAGTAGTCAAAGCTGTATGTCTGATGGATAGCCATGAATAAGACCACCCTGTGAAGCCAGATTGAAAGGGAAAATAAATGCCTTTTACTTCAAAACGAAGTGTTAGTATATCAATCCCAGGCAGTCACTATAGTAGAGAAGGCTGTATCTAAGCACTATAAAACCTTACGGCAAAGGCAAGGTTCAGGGTTAACATCTAATTTGGCCTTAATTGTCCATATCAGGTAAGAAAAAAAAAAAGATTAAGAACATTTAAATTGAAGGGCAACTTGGCACTTTGATATGATGAGTCAAAGTGCTTTTGACTTTAGAACTTAAAAGAGAGCGGTTGTTGGCATCCTCCGGGCTATTTCAAGACATTTAAGGCAGTTATTATAAGTGATGCTTTTATAATGATAGGTTACATTAACCTCTGCTCTGTGGCAGACTCTGTTAGCCTTTTTTCAGGGCTATCTTTGAATTGTGCTCTCTTGCTGTGCTTTAAGCTTATAGGAGTTAGGTGGGGGTTATGCTGGGCTGGGGGCTGAGTGTATGGGAAGTACAAGGATCTAGCTTGTAATTTGGGATTTCTGGGAGCCGCTCCATAAGCCAGTGCTTTCCAGGTTACGGCAGGCTAATCAGGTCCAGTCGCACTCCGATAACCATGCCGGGCTGGGAAGTTGGATGGGGAGGGATGGATGGGGGTTGGTTGGGAGGGGGGTAAATGTTGTAGTATTTGGTGCAGGGGGCCGTGGTGAAGCAACACCCTGTTGTTCAGTCAATTAGGCTGAGCAGGCCCTGGACATCTTAGAGGCACCCCTGACAGTGTCATTGATGGAGAGGTTAGAGAGCAGGCCAGGACCACCCGGAATTCAACAGCCACCAGACACCCCCCTCCAACCCTACCCCACAATCCCCAAAACACACACATACAAACACACAGGAACACACACACAACCCCCCAGCTTGATCAAGGACTATGGACCAGGGGATTAGGAATATTCCAAAAATAGGGTTTGGTTTTAATGCGCTTTAAGAAGGAGAATAAAACGCATGGCACACGCCACACACATAAATATTGACCCACACAAGTTCACACCCAATACTCCCTATCTCAACTTTTGGAACATTCCTCCCGGCTACAATACTACATGACAAGTAGCATGTGTAATTTCCTCCTGCTGAGGGACACAAAATTCAGGTACCTTTCCCAAACTTCCAATGTTTTCCAGAAATCCCGGATTTTCAACTTATTCTCTCCTGAGTCGAGGAATCGTCCAAACAGGATTTCTGGAAAACCTGGGACATTTTGGGTCACCAGAATCTTGCAACGTGGTATACTACTGCTGCTAGATACAGTAGAGGGGAGTGGGACTTGAGTGTGTGATAGCAAGGTGAGGTGAGGCAGTAGTATGCTCACCATCTGGCTCTATGCGCAGGGCACTCCCCACCAGGCAGTATTTGATGTCTGCACCTCGGCCAATCACAGCATTACTGCAGATCACACTGCCCTGGATGTTACACCTGTAGAACAAACACACAGCACCATCAACCAGCAGTCCCCTTGACAACTAGTACACTATCACTCTGTGTAGCTTGTGGGTACCTGTGATGACATCGCAGCAGAGTTGATTTCTGGCCAGTGGACACTTGCTCTCTGACTTAATGCAGTCAAAATCCTGGTTTTATGTACTATGTTTAAACATCTACTCCAATTTCAAGGAGGTTGTTTTCTGGATGAACAGTGTAACATTGTCACCTGTTGTCTGGGGCTGCTTTAAACTGCACAGGCTTTCACACACACACACACACACACACACACACACACACACACACACACACACACACACACACAGAGAGAATAATATTTTCCTGGGATCACTTTGGCACCATAAAACTGTATAACTTTATTAGCACAGTTTGATGTTTACTTGACATGCCTGGGCCAGGCCAGCTTTTTTTCTGAGTGGAAGAAGAACATATTTACAATGAACATTTCTCTTTCATGTCTTCAGCTAATTGCACAGTAGAGGGAGGTCCTTGTCCTTTCCTGCCTCTGACCCCCCCTTAAAGGAAACATGATCCCTCAGAGTTTTCAGCTGTATTGTTTGATTTTCCTAAAGAGACTAGATTAGCGTCAGCGTTTCCCCTGTATTCATTCATTGTTGCCGCCACACCAATTGTTTTATTTTTTTATGGAAAAATGCTTTCAGTCTAAACTTAAATTACAAAAACCAGACAAAGTATGCAGAAAAGATAATAGACCTATATATTTTTTTATTATAATCTTTGAGAAGTAAAAATCACCAAACAAAAGCTAGACAGTCTGGGAAAATAGAACATTCTAAAAATGATGAATTTAGGAGTATATTTGTCATGGCTGGATTACTGACGGGCATGCAGGGCACATGCCCAGGGGCCCTGATTGGGGTCCCCATTTGTTTTGTTAGAATGGTTGAGCATAAGAACATAGAATAAGCCATGGCAAAATGCATAGAATTGCAGGAAATTAGATTTCGCACTGCACAATTTCCTCTCAGCTCCATGGAAAAATTTATAGAATTGCAGGAAATTAGCTGAAAACAGCATTTCTTTCTCTCCACCACCAATTCCGGAAAGATTTAAGCCGCACAAACGACCACGCCCATTACCACACTGCCCGAGACAGCCACCACCTAAAACCCTATTTGATCCAGAAAAACCTGGACATCCCGGCCCCCAATCCCCCCCAGAGGAAAGACTGAGCATTCATATTAAAGAACAACACCAGCCTCTACCTCGTGTGTGCGAATTATACACTGTCAACATTTCGAATACAACAATGGCATTCGATACCGTCAGGTTTGTTTTGTTGAGGGCATGGGTTGACGAAACATTACAGACAGGTGTTCATCAAAGCTGAGACCAAGCACACCCCCATGTCGAAATAAAAACCCCCATGTTGTAATCATTACTAGCACTGAGCTCAGTCTAAACAATGGATTGTTTGGGGTCCAGGTAGGCAGTATAGTCATTCATTTGAGTGGTGTAGAAATTCTCTATTTACTCTTTATCAAACATCCTAATTGTTTCTTCATTCCCTTGATTGTGCAGTTTAAGTTTGATCAATAAAAGAGAGGAAATCCTGAATGAATCAAATGAACCTCAATTCAGGATTTAATCTCATCTTCCCATATGTAACTGCCATAGTGAAACTCCAGACCCTGGGTGGCAGGCAGAGGCATGCTAAAACACTACCAGCAGTTGGAAAGTCTCTGAGGTGGTGGTAGTATGTTGGGTTAGGGTTAGTCAGGAGAGCTGGGGGAACCAACAACCCTGCCTGGGGATGGATGCTGCTCTGCTCCCCCTGGGTTGGGTTGGCAGCCAGGGCTGAGGCTGAGACCATAACGTCCTGGAGGAGAGAAACAGATTGAGCTCTGTGGGGCGGGTTGAGGAGCAACATGCATGTTTCTCCCTCCCAGAGCCTCTGACGTGCTAGGCCCTGCGGCCACTAACACAGGCAGGTTTGTATTGGCTGCTGTTGCACAGAGGGCATTCTATTCAGGTGGTGGTGGTAGGGTTGAAGGGAGAGGGGTGTGGTGAGGAGGGAGGCAGGGGGGGGGGGGGGGACCGGCTGGGGGGTGGATGGCAACGGGAGATTACAAGGATTGGAGTTTTAAACAGAGAGACCACCAAAGAAGCCCAACTGAAACACCACTAATTACTGACACTACACTCCTCCTTGCTGTGAGCCCTCCCCCACTCCACCCCCCCAACCACCCACCTCTTCCGCCTGCCTCCCTCGACCCCCCCCCAAATATCCTCGGCTTTGTAAACAAGCACTCCTACATGCAAACAAAGGGCCCAAAAATGCAAGTGCCTTCCTTAACATGCCAGGGATTTACTAATCCCCTCTTACATTTTTTTTATGTTTTGAAAGAATTGCTATTTCTTTATTTTCCTCCTTTTCTTTCTTTCCTTCCCTTTATGCGTGCACTAACTTGGACATGAGGGTACCCCCACTGGCTCTGGCCTCCCTGTCTTTAAGAGGGACTGTGCTAAAGCCTAACTCTGCCAGATAAACTCTTCCCCAGGATTTGAGGATGTCTGAATTTAAAATAACACCCCTTTTCTACTTCTCAGTGGTCTCTCTCCTGCGATTCATGTCATGCTTGCAGTTTTAAAATCACCAGCCAGGACATCCTTTCAACCGACCAGCACGAGTGAAAATACTTTAATTAAAAATGTCTCCCAATGCTAGACTGAAAAAAGAAAAAGATTCATAGTAGATTTACTTTCCATAGTCAGCAATCCACCCACAATAAATAGTTGAATATGAAACTTTCAAGGTATTTTTTGGTTTTGGTGCAAATATGTTCACAAGTCTATCAACTCATTTACATTTACATTTACATTTTAGTCATTTAGCAGACGCTCTTATCCAGAGCGACTTACAGGAGCAACTCACTGTGTAACAACTTGTGAGTTATATGGATGAAGTGAAATACGTTGTTGCTGAGAATCCAGAAGTTTAACCATGTATATTCGTCCCCTATGTGTTTATGTATTGCATTGTAAGCATGCTCTGGTTCACTGCACACCAATGGACATTGTCAACATGGAGTTCTCCACTTTCCCCACATATCACATAAAACAAGCCTCAGTCAGTCAGCCAGTCAGTCAGTCAGTCCCCTCGCGCTGCAGCCATCTCCCTCCCTCTGAAACCTACTTGTTCCCCTTTGTCCTCTCTCCCTCTACACTGGCCTCTGAAACCTACTTGTTCCCCTTTGTCCTCTCTCTCTCTCTCTCTCTCTCTACACTGGCCTCTGAAACCTACTTGTTCCCCTTTGTCCTCTCTCTCTCTCCCTCTACACTGGCCTCTGAAACCTACTTGTTCCCCTTTGTCCTCTCTCTCTCTCCCTCTACACTGGCCTCTGAAACCTACTTGTTCCCCTTTGTCCTCTCTCCCTCTACACTGGCCTCTGAAACCTACTTGTTCCCCTTTGTCCTCTCCCTCTCTCTCTACACTGGCCTCTGAAACCTACTTGTTCCCCTTTGTCCTCTCCCTCTCTCTCTACACTGGCCTCTGAAACCTACTTGTTCCCCTTTGTCCTCTCCCTCTCTCTCTACACTGGCCTCTGAAACCTACTTGTTCCCCTTTGTCCTCTCTCTCTCCCTCTACACTGGCCTCTGAAACCTACTTGTTCCCCTTTGTGGTTCAACACTATACTAGGCTTAATTGGTTAAGGGAGTTGACTGCCCTGCCTGTTTCTTACACTGCTTTCTCTCTACCATAAAGTATAATCTGTGACTATTTGGTAAAATGACTGTCCTCGGGTCTAAGGGCTCAGTGGTGGAAATGGTCAAAATCTGTATACAGTAGGCTCTACTCACCCCTCCTCGATGGTGACTCCATGCATGATGATGGAGTTGGTTACTTTGACCTTCTCCCTGACGGTGGTGGACGCTCCGATCGTCGATCTCTTTATGGATGTCTTGTCTGAGATCTGACAGGAAGCTCCTATTATGCTGTCTGCACCAATCTAACAGACAATAGGCAGACATGGTAGAACATTGTCAGTAAAAAAAGCAGAAAAGACCACACCAGAATTTACACTTCACTCTGATCCCTTCCTACACTTCATTAGTGAGTCAAATTCCAGTGTAGAAATGTAACTCTTTATATGTCTGTTAATGAGAAGAAAGCAACAGAAAAACTATAGGATGATATTTTAGAACTGAAATGTGTACGACAGTTGGGAGAGCAGTTTAAACATGAAGGTAATGGAGAGGCAACCTTAATTTGAGCCAGTTTGCAGTCACCTGACCTCAATCCAATTGAGATGGTTTGGGATGAGTCGGACTGCAGAGTGAAGGAAAAGCAGCCAACAAGTGCTCAGCATATGTGGGAACTCCTTCAAGACTGTTGGAAAAGCATTCCAGGTGAAACTGGTTGAGAGAATGCCAAGAGTGTGCAAAGCTGTCATCAAGGCAAAGGGTGGCTACTTTGAAGAATCTCAAATATTAAATATATTAACACTTTTTTGGTTACTACATGATTCCATATGTGTTATTTCATAGTTTTGATGTCTTCACTATTATTCTACAATGTAGAAAATAGTAAAAATAAAGAAAGACCCTGGAATGAGTAGATGTGTCCAAACATTTGACTGGTACTGTATATGTTATGGTTGGCTACAGTCAGACATGTACACGTCCGCACAACAGTGTTCTAGAATATTGGACTGTTGGCTTTCATAGTTTTCGAATTCTCAGAGTGGCTCAAGCAATTTCTCCAACAATTGCCACAAATGAATAAGAGCCGTGTACGCGGAGCCGCGTTGGTTGGACATTTTGGGGAGGTGCGAAGGTCGGGCTGTGCGTCCCCAGCTGGATATGTCACAATGGGCAGCCGGACTATCGCGGCTCCCAACCTGAATTGAGCTGTACTCATAAGTCCTCTATGACACCTATAGCATCTTACCTCATAGACAACTAACAACAATACCATGTGACTCACCAAAGCACACTCACTCTAATGACACCCTCACTCACCAGACAACTCTCATTCCTGCTAATGACTCACTCTCAGACTCAGTCAGAAAATACACATTGTATCAGACGTCTAAGAAAACCACCCATCTATCTACTCTTAGTGCATTCCTTATTGGTCATAGTAGCTACTCACCAGACAGCGCTCAGAGATCACTGCTGATGGATGGACTGCTGGCTCATCAAACAGCTTAGGGGCCTGGAAAACAGGAGAGAAGATGGGTGAGGATAAAGCAATAATGTCAGTAATGTTCAGTGAGCATCCTTATCATTGACATTTATTAAAATGTTTTGTATAATTTTTTTAAATTGTAATTTAGCAGACACTCTTATCCAGAGTGACTAACAGTAGTGAGTGCGTACATTTTCATACTTTTTTTCATACTGGTCCCCCGTGGGAATCGAACCCACTACCCTGGCGTTATTGTTGCTGACAGAGCCTGCTATTAAACTAATTTAAGTTTTCCGTGAGTAAAATAACAAAAGGGGATCACATTTTCTACACAGTGTTACTTCTCTCACTCACCAGGCGATTGGCTTCGATGTAGGCCGCTATCGTGTTGACGCGGTAACATATTCCCTCGTCCATGATGTGCACGTAGCATCGTAGGCGTCCTCCGTGGTAGGCCTCGCTCATGTCCCCACGGTGGTCATTCCAACAGGACCTCTCCTGGGTTAGACGCAGCAGCTCCTCATCCCTGGATGAGATCTGGATCTCTACACACACACACACACACACACACACACAAACAGCAGATACACACAGGTGAATGGGTGTGTGTGTATGTATGTGTGTGTGTGTGTGTGTGCATGAACATGAATGAGTTACAACCTAGCTATGGAAAGTCTCCTAAAATGTTCAAGCATACTCTATTTGGAATGTTCATTACCTAAGTTTACATTGCCATCGTTTTTATTTAGGTTCTGATGAGTTTCATCGTTGACCTTCGGAGAGTTGGTGGATTTAGAGAACTGTTTGTGGACCAGATACGGGACTAACTCTCCCCGAATCGAAGAGATTGATCTTTGAGAGAAAAACAAAACAAAATACAATAGTTACTCAATTGCTGAAATAGTACATTCACTGAAAGTAAAAAGGTACATTTTACCCTCATGAAGTGTGTAACATTTGACTCACTAGCACGATCCCTTTCCCTTCAAATATAAATGTTAACCGGGGGTTTACATAAATATACTGCAATGCAGCCGCTTGTTCCTGCTGCTTCCCATTGCTTTGACATTTTTATTCACCAGTCCTCCTGATATAAATATCATTTAATTTACTCTGCCGTCCAGACTCAGGAGACCCCAAAAGCGCTACCCCCTTTTCTCTTTCTCTTTCTCATCAAAGTAGGTTTACTTTTTTAAAATTCAGCCCCCTTTTCTTTCACGTTCTACCTTTTCTCTCTCTTTTTCTCTCTCTCTCTCTCTTTCTCGCTCTCTTTCTCCCTCTCCCCCTCTCCTCTCTTTCTCCCTCTCTCCCTCTTTCTCCCTCTCCCTCTTTCTCCCTCTCTCTCTTTCTCCCCTTTCTCCTCTCTCCTCCCCCTCTTCTCCCCCTCTCTCTCGTTCTCCTCCCTCTCTCTTCTCCTCTCCCCCTCTTTTCCCTCCCCTCCCTCCCCCCCCCCTCTTTCCTTTCTCCTCTCCCTCCCTTCTCTCCCCTTCTCTTTCTCCCCTCTCCCCTCTCTTTCTCCCCTCGCTCTCTCTTTTCCCTCTCCCCTCCCTCTCTCCCTCTCCCCTCTCTTTCTCTCCCTCTCCCCTCTCTTTCTCCTCTCTCTCCTCCCTTCCCCTCTCTTCCTCTCCTCTCTCCTCCCCTCTCTCTCTTCCCTTCTCCTCCCTCCTCCCTCCTTCCTCCTTCGCACTCCATTCCCTCTCCCTCTCCCTCCTCCTCACTCCTGCACCTCTCATTCCCTCTCCTCTCCTCCTCTCCCTCACTTCCTGCACTGCCTACTCCTTCCATCTCCCCCTCTCCTCCTACTCCTCCCTCCACTCCCTCCTGCACTGCTCCATGTCCCTCTCCATCGCTCCTCCTCACTCCTGCACTGTACTCCATGTCCCTCTCCATCTCTCCTCCTCACTCCTGCACTGCACTGCATGTCCCTCTCCATCCTCCTCCTCCCTGCCGCACTGTATGTCCCTCTCCATCTCTCCTCCTCTCACTCCTGCACTGCACTCTGTCCCTCTCCTCCTCCTCACTCCTGCACTGCACTCCATGTCCCTCTCCATCTCTCCTCCTCACTCCTGCACTGCACTCCATGTCCCTCTCTCCTCCTCACTCCTGCACTGCACTCCATGTCCCTCTCCATCTCTCCTCCTCACTCCTGCACTCCATGTCCCTCTCCATCTCTCCTCCTCACTCCTGCACTGCACTGCATGTCCCTCTCCATCTCTCCTCCTCACTCCTGCACTGCACTGCATGTCCCTCTCCATCTCTCCTCCTCACTCCTGCACTGCACTCCATGTCCCTCTCCATCTCTCCTCCTCACTCCTGCACTGCACTCCATGTCCCTCTCCATCTCTCCTCCTCACTCCTGCACTGCACTCCATGTCCCTCTCCATCTCTCCTCCTCACTCTCTTTTAGGTTCTTTGAAGGGAGATTATAATTTCCATCTGAATGCAGAGAAAGAAACAGTTACTCTATCCATTTTTCTCTGTGAGCGCTCCACAGCTGAGCAGCTTCAAAAGAGAGAGAGGGAGAAAGAGAGAGGGAGAAAGAGACGGGGGAGAGGGAGAAAGAGAGAGGGAGAGGGAGAAAGAGAGGGGGAGTGAAAAGAGATGGGGAGTAGGGAGAAAGAGATGGGGTGAGTGGAGATACAGAGAGGTGACAAAGTAGAGGGTGAAGGATACAGATGAGAGTGTAATCAGACTGCTTGTATTAGTATACTATCGACAGCTATTTGCCTCCTCTTTTCGTATCTCTAGTCTCCTCTGGTCTTCTTATTCGTCGCTCTCGCTTTGTCTCTTTCTCCCTCTCGTCTTTCTCTTTCTCCTCTCTTTCTCGTTCTCCTCTCTCTTCTCCCTCTCTCTTTCTCATTCCCTCATCTCTCATTTTATACTCCCTCCTCTGCTATTTAACGTAACCTACTTACGAGACAAGCTAGAACAGACAATGTACTTTCTTAATAGGGTTGCTGATTTAACAAAGTAAACCTACTTTGATGAGTGGTGAGAGAAAGAGGAAAGAGAAAGGGTGTGCGCTTTTGGTCTCCTGAGTCTTGGACGGCAGAGTAAATTAAATGATATTTATATCAGGAGGATTGGTGAATAAAAATGTCAAAGCAATGGGAAGCAGCAGGAACAAGCGGCTGCATTGCAGCATATTTATGTAAACCCCCGGTTAACATTTATATTTGAAGGGAAAGGGATCGTGCTAGTGAGTCAATGTACTCCCCAGTTAATGCCACCTGCGCTTATTTTCAACACCACTTAAAGGAGCTGTTGGGTCTCCTCACAATACCAGTTTAACAAGCATAAAGGGACTGGGGGACTAGGGGTGGGTGGAGGACTAGGGGTGGGTGGAGGAGGTGGTGCTTCTGCTTTTGGTCTTGCTGCTGGTGGTGGCGGGAGGGGAGGGGGGGGGGGGGTAAGGACAGGACGGTGGGGGCTAGCAATTACTGGACCGGTTTCTTATTCAAGCCCTGTTCTGTCCCCCTCCTAGTTATGAAGTATCCCCTGCCTAGGATGTATGGGCTGGAGAATGTGAGTAGATTAATGTAACACCATTAGAAATATAGGCTACATCAATAGGATGTACATTTATCAAAGTGGGATGCATTTCAACTAAGTGTGGCATCTAACAATGTATTCAATTGGCCTTGATTTTAATGATCAGGTGTATATCTTTTAAATTGTGGATCATTTGATCTGGTGGTGGTGGCCAAAAACATCCTATAAATTACTTCTATATGTTATAAGCTTTAAGTAAATCTATGGTGGTGGCCCTATTATACAGTGCATTCGGAAAGTATTCAGACCCCTTGACTTTCTCCACATTTTGTTACGTTACAGCCTTATTCTAAAATGGATTAAATAGTTTCCCCCCCTCATCAATCTACACACAATACCCCATAACGACAAAGCAAAAACAGGTTTTTAGAAATTGTTGCAAAAAACACAATATAAAAAATGAAATATCACATTTACATAAGTATTAAGACCCTTTACTCAGTACTTTGTTGAAGCACCTTTGGCAGCAACTATCTTACACAGAAAGCGGCACAGGTCCTAATCCAGGCACTTGTCATCTCCCGTCTGGATTACTGCAACTCGCTGTTGGCTGGGCTCCCTGCCTGTGCCATTAAACCCCTACAACTTAACCAGAACGCTGCAGCCTGTCTTGTGTTCAACCTTCCCAAGTTCTCTCATGTCACCCCGCTCCTCCGCACACTCCACTGGCTTCCAGTTGAGGCTCGCATCTACTACAAGACCATGGTGCTTGCCTACGGAGCTGTGAGGGGAATGGCACCTCCTTACCTTCAGGCTCTGATCAGACCCTACACCCAAACGAGGGCACAACGTTCATCCACCTCTGGCCTGCTAGCCCCCCTACCTTTACGGAAGCACAGTTCCTGCTCAGCCCAGTCAAAGCTATTCGCTGCTCTGGCACCCCAATGGTGGAACAAGCTCCCCCACGACGCCAGGACAGCGGAGTCACTGACCACCTTCCGGAGACACTTGAAACCCTACCTCTTTAAGGATTACCTGGAATAGTACAAAAGTAATCCTTCGACCACCCCCCCCATAAAAAAAAAAAGTGGTTGTCCCACTGGCTATCCTAAGTTGAATGCACCCATTTGTAAGTCGCTCTGGATAAGAGCATCTGCTAAATGACGTAAATGTAAATGTAAATGTAGATCCTCTCAAGCTGTGTCAGGTTGGATGGGGGAACGTCACTGCACAGCTATTTTCAGGTCTCTCCAGAGATGTTAGATCGGGTTCAAGTCCGGGCTCTGGCTGGGCCACTCAAGGACATTGAGACTTTTCCCCGAAGCCACGCTTGCGTTGTCTTGGCTGTGTGCTTAGGGTTGTTGTCCTGTTGGACGGTAAACCTTCGCCCCAGTCTGAGGTCTGGAGTAGGTTTTCATCAAGGATCTCTCTGTACTTTGCTCCGTTCATCTTTCCCTCGATCCTGACTAGTCTCCCAGTCCCTGCCGCTGAAAAACATCCCTACAGCATGATGCTGCCACCACCATGCTTCACCGTAGGGATGGTGCCAGGTTTCCTCCAGACGAGATGCTTGGCATTCAGGCCAAAGAGTTCAATCTTGGTTTCATCAGACCAGAGAATCTTTTTTATCATGGTCTGAGAGTCCTTTAGGTGCCTTTTGGCAAACTCCAAGCGGGCTGTCATGTGCCTTTTACTGAGGAGTGGCTTCCGTCTGGCCACTCTACCATAAAGGCCTGATTGGTGGAGTGCTGCAGAGATGGAGAAGGTTCTCCCATCTCCACAGAGGAACTCTGGAGCTCTGTCAGAGTGACCATCGGGTTCTTGGTCACCTCCCTCACCAAGGCCCTTCTCCCCCGATTGCTCAGTTTGGCCGGGCGGCCAGCTCTAAGACGAGTCTTGGTGGTTCCAAACTTCTTCCATTTAAGAACGATGGAGGCTACTGTGTTCTTGGGGACCTTCAATGCTGCAGAAATATTTTGGTACCCTTCCCCAGATCTGTGCCTCGACACAATCCTGTCTCGGAGCTCTACGGACAATTCCTTCGACCTCATGGCTTGGTTTTTGCTCTGATATGCACTGTGAACTGTGGGACCTTATATAGACAGGTGTGTGCCTTTCCAAATCATGTCCAATCAATTGAATTTACCACAGGTGGATTCCAATCAAGTTGTAGAAACATCAAGGATGATCAATGGAAACAGGATGCATCTGAGCTCAATTTCGAGTCTCATAGCAAAGGGTTTGAATACTTATGTAAATATTTATTTTTATTTTTTTCATTTGCAAAAATGTCTAAAAACCTGTGTTTGCTTTGTCATTATGGGGTATTGTTTGAAGATTGATGAGGACATTTTTTTTATTTAATCAATTTTAGAATAAGGCTGTACTGTAACAAAATGTGGAAAAAGTCAACGGGTCTGAATTCTTTCCGAATGCACTGTATATGGGGAGAACAAGTATTTGATACACTGACGATTTTGCAGGTTTTCCTACTTACAAAGCATGTAGAGGACATAAGTATTTGATACATCAGAAAAGCTGAACTTAATATTTGGTACAGAAACCTTTTGTTTGCAATTACAGAGATCATACATTTCCTGTAGGTCTTGACCAGGTTTGCACACACTGCAGCAGGGATTTTGGCCCACTCCACCATACAGACCTTCTCCAGATCCTTCAGGTTTCGGGGCTGTCGCTGGGCTATACGGACTTTCAGCTCCCTCCATAGATTTTCTATTGGGTTCAGATCTGGAGACTGGCTAGGCCACTCCAGGACCTTGAGATGCTACTTACGGAGCCACTCCTTAGTTGCCCTGGCTGTGTGTTTCGGGTCGTTGTCATGCTGGAAGACCCAGCCACGACCCATCTTCAATGCACTTACTGAGGGAAGGAGGTTGTTGGCCAAGATCTCGCGATACATGGCCCCATCCATCCTCCCCTCAATACGGTGCAGTCGTCCTGTCCCCTTTGCAGAAAAGCATCCCCAAAGAATGATGTTTCCACCTCCATGCTTCACGGTTGGGATGGTGTTCTTGGGGTTGTACTCATCCTTCTTCTTCCTCCAAACATGGCGAGTTTAGACCAAAAAGCTATATTTTTGTCTCATTAGACCACATGACCTTCTCCCATTCCTCCTCTGGATCATCCAAATGGTCATTGGCAAACTTCAGATGGGCCTGGACATGCGCTGGCTTGAGCAGGGGGACCTTGCGTGCGCTGCAGGATTTTAATCCATGACGGCGTAGTGTGTTAATAATGGTTTTCTTTAAGACTGTGGTCCCAGCTCTCTTCAGGTCATTGACCAGGTCCTGCCGTGTAGTTCTGGGCTGATCCCTCACCTTCCTCATGATCATTGATGCCCCACGAGGTGAGATCTTGCATGGAGCCTCAGACCGAGGGTGATTGACCGTCATCTTGAACTTCTTCCATTTTCTAATAATTGCGCCAACAGTTCTCACCAAGCTGCTTACCTATTGTCCTGTAGCCCATCCCAGCCTTGTGCAGGTCTACAATTTTATCCCTTATGTCCTTACACAGCTCTCTGGTCTTGGCCATTGTGGAGAGGTTGGAGTCTGTTTGATTGAGTGTGTGGACAGGTGTCTTTTATACAGGTAACGTTCAAACAGGTGCAGTTAATACAGGTAATGAGTGGAGAACAGGAGGGCTTCTTAAAGAAAAACTAACAGGTCTGTGAGAGCCGGAATTCTTACTGGTTGGTAGGTGATCAAATACTTATGTCATGCAATTAAATGCAAATTAATTACTTAAAAATCATACAATGTGATTTTCTGGATTTTTGATTTAGATTCTGTATCTCACAGTTGAAGTGTATCTATGATAAAAATTACAGACCTCTACATGCTTTGTAAGTAGGAAAACCTGCAAAATCGGCAGTGTATCAAACACTTGTTCTCCCCACTGTATATGGTAACCAGAAAATGTTAAATGGGCAATACACAACAGAATTTCTGATTGGTCCAAATTGATTGCACTTGAAAAGAAGTAGTACCAGAAGTATGAAGAAGTGACATGATCAACACAGTTGTGATTGAGGTGTACTTCTGACACTAACGCACAAGGGGGGTAAAAGCCTAATAAACTACTCAAGTGGCACATTGTAAAACAAATTAACACCTAACAAGAATACCTCCCAGCCTCAAAGCCTTTCCAGTCACAGCCTGTTCTTATATTAACAAAAATTCTACACGCATGCAACTTGGCAAGAAAGGTGCTGTTCGCTATTTCACCTGTATCTAGAAATACATTAAATTCAAATGTATATGGACGGTTATTGGTACCTTTTAAAAACTAATTCGATATACACTGAGTGTACAAAACATTAGGAACACCTTCCTAATATTGATTTGCACCACCTTTTGGCCTCAGAACAACCTCAATTCGTCGGGGAATGGACTCTACAAGGTGTCAAAAGCACAGGGATGCTGGCCCATGTTGACACCAATGCTTCCCACAGTTGTGTCAAATTGGCTGGATGTCCTTTGGGTGGTGGACCATTCTTGATACACACCGGAAAGTGTTGAGCGTGAAAAACCTAGCAGCGTTGCAGTTCTTGACTCAAATCAGTGGATCTGGCACCTACAACCATACCCCGTTCAAAGGCACTTAAATATTTTGTCTTGCTCATTCACCCTCTGAATGGCACACATACACAATCCATGTCTCAATTGTCTTAAGGCTTAAAAATCATTATTTAACCCATCTCCTCCCCATACACTGACTGAAGTGAAATCAATAAGGGATCATAGCTTTCACCTGGATTCACCTGGTCAGTCTATGTCTAATGTTTTGTACACTCAGTGTACATTTAACATAAAACACAAGCACATTTGTGAAAAAATGACATGCAAAAGTTCATACACAAAGGCTACGTCCAATTTAGGACGCAACCAAAGTCAAAACATGCGAAAAGGCCTCACTTGTTAACAGCGAGGAAGTCGACCACAGACTTCTTCAGGCAGTACAGGTGGGCGTCCACAAGGCCAGTTTTGATGTGCATCCTTGGATGTCTGAATGAAAAAGAGAGAGAGAGAGACGTGTGGGGTAAATCAAATCACATTCAAAAGAAAAAGCTAGCGGAGCTGGGGATGTTCTACATGACATTGCTCTATACCTGTGTAAAAACACAGTAGTTGTAATAGAAACATTGTAATGGCATGTTCTATGACATACTCTAACAATTACTTTGGAGTTAAAGGGATTTTTATTATTACCCAGGTGGATTAAGGATTAGTCCCAATTTCCCTTTAGTAATTCTACTAGAGTTGTAACTGTGTTACTTACTACACAGGTATAACTTTGTGTAACTGTATGTAACGTAATCTTCATGTCAATGTTCATGGCACAACATACTATAAAGTACCCTGTAGCAGACACCATGCCTCCTCATGAGCAAAACCAATGTTTTCATCTCAAAATGCTTTTTTAATTAGATGAGAGTTAAAATAACTACAGCCTTTAATTTTGCTTTTTATTCGGCCCCTTAATTACTCAGTTGAAAGCAGTATGTGACTGAACAAACAGAACATCTGCTATGAGGAAAAAAATAGGATAGGTGACAAAAGTCCCTGGGATGTCATGGCACCTGTGTATTGTCCCCTGCCAGCCTCCATCCGCATGCCCTGCCCCAGAAGCCTGGCTGCCATGGTAACAGTGTCCAGTCTGGACTGCAGTGAGTGCTGTACTAAATGGTCAGATGCCAACACAAGCGGACCACCCAATTGTTTTACAGCCTGCGATTGACATGACAATGCTCTGGGTATAGAGCCTCTGTCCTAAATGGCACCCTACTCCCTTTATATTGCACCATAGGGCTCTGATCAGAAGTAGTGCACTATATAGAGAATAGGGTGTCATTTGGGACACAGTCCCGAGCTGGCTGCCTGCCCTGGAGGCCAGTGTAATTCATCTGAGAGCAGAGCCACAGCAGCCTGTGAGAGTGATGTGGGAAGTGTCTCAAATCAAAATCAAATAAAATTGTATTTGTCACATGCGCCGAATAAAACAAGAGTAGACTTTACTGTGAAATGCTTACTTACGAGCCCCTCTTCAAACAATACAGTTCAAAAGTAGAACATTAACAAATAGATAAAAAGAAAATACACTACGTGAACATCTCATTCCAAAATCATGGGCATTAATATGAAGTTAGTCCCCCCTTTCCTGCTATAACAGCCTCCACTCTTCTGGGAAGGCTTTCCACTAGATGTTTCAACATTGCTGCAGGGACTTGCTTCCATTCAGCCACAAGCGCATTACTGAGGTCAGGCACTGATGTTGGGCGATTAGGCCTGGCTCGCAGTCTGCGTTCCAATTCATCCCAAAGGTGTTCGATGGGGTTGAGGTCAGGGCCCTGTGCAGGCCAGTCAAGTTCTTCCACACCAATCTCCTCAAATCATTTCTGTATGGACCTCACTTTGTGCACGGGGGCATTATCATGCTGAAACAGGAAAGGCCTTCCCCAAACGGTTGCCACAAAGTTGGAAGCACAGAATCGTCTAGAATATCATTGTATGCTGTAGCGTTAAGATTTATCTTCACTGGAACTAAGGGGCCTAGTCCGAACCATGAAAAACAGCCCCAGACCATTATTCCTCCTCCACCAAACTTTACAGTTGGCACTATGCATTGGGGCAGGTAGTGTTCTCCTGGCATCCGTCAAACCCAGATTTGTCCGGCATACTGCCAGATGTTGAAGTGTGATTCATCACTCTTAGGCTTGTGTGCGGCAACTCGGCCATAGAAACCGATTTCATGAAGCTCCCGACGAACAGTTCTTGTGCTGACGTTGCTTCGAGGCAGTTTGGAACTTGGTAGTGGTAGTGATTTTTTTTTACACGCTACGCACTTCAGCTCTCGGTGGCCCCGTTCTGTGAGCTTGTGTGGTCTACCACTTCGCGGCTGAGCCGTTGTTGCTCCTAGACGTTTCTACTTCACAATAATAGCACTTACAGTTGACTGGGGCAGCTCTAGCAGGGCAGACATTTGACGAACTGACTTGTTGGAAAGGTGGCATCCTATGACGGTGCCACGTTGAAAGTCACTGAGCTCTTCAGTAAGGCCATTCTACTGCCAATGTTTGTCTATGAAGATTGCATGGCTGTGTGCTCGATTTTATACATCTGTCAGCAACCGGTGTGGCTGAAATAGCTGAATCCACTAATATGAAGGAGTGTCCACATACTTTTATATTTTTAGTGTAGTAACACAATAAAACAACAATAACGAGGCTATTTACAGGCTATATACAAGGAGTACCAGTACAGAGTCAGTGTACTGGGGTACGAGGTAGTTAGGGTGATTGATTGAGATAATATCAAATCAAATTTTATTTGCCACATGCGCCGAATACAACAGGTGTACATGCTTACTTACAGCCCTTAACCAACAATGCATTTATTGTACATGTAGGTTTGGTTAGGTGATTTATTGAAGTACTATGTACACGTAGGTAGTAGGTGAAAAGCAGAAAGTCTGGGTAGCCGTTTAATTAACCGTTCAGCAGTTTTATGGCTTTGGGGTAGAAGACATGGCGCTCCGGTACCGCTTGCCATGCAGTAGCAGAGAGAACAGACTGTGACTTGGGTGGTAGGAGTCTTTGACCCTTTTTAGTGCCTTACCTCCTCTGCCTGGTATAGAGGTCCTGGATGGCAGGGAGCTCAGCCCCAGTGATGTACTGGGCGGTACGCACTACCCTCTGTAGCGCTCTGCGGTCGGAGGCGGAGTAGTTGCCATACCAAGCGTTGACGCAGTCAGTCGACATGCTCTCGATGGTGCAGCTGTAGAGGTTTTTGAGGATCTGAGGGCCCATGCCAAATATTTTCAGCCTCCTGAGGGGGAAGAGGCGTTGTCGTGCCCTCTTCACGACTATGTTGGTGTGTTTGGACCATGATAAGTCCTTAGTGATGTGGACACCGAGGAACTTGAAGCTCTCAACCGTCCCACTATAGCCCCGTCGATGTGAATGGGGCCGTGCTCGGCCCTCCGTTTCTTGTAGTCCACGATCAGCTCCTTTGTCTTGCTGACGTTGAGGGAGAGATTGTTGTCCTGGCAGCACACTGACCTCCTCCCTGTAGGCTGTCTCATCATTACATTTACATTTTAGTCATTTAGCAGACGCTCTTATCCAGAGCGACTTACAGTTAGTGAGTGCATACATTATTTGTTATATTTTTTTATATATTTTTTTTATACCCTCCGTGGGAATCGAACCCACAACCCTGGCGTTGCAAACACCATGCTCTACCAACTGAGCTACATCCCTGCCGGCCATTCCCTCCCCTACCCTACCCTGGACGACGCTGGGCCAATTGTGCGCCGCCCCATGGGTCTCCCGGTCGCGGCCGGCTACGACAGAGCCTGGAATCGAACCAGGATCTCTAGTGGCACAGCTAGCACTGCGATGCAGTGCCTTAGACCACTGCGCCACTCGGGAGGCAGCACATCCGCCATGTTGACCCTCAACACGTGGGCCCCTCAGGGGCCATCATCGATAATCAGGCCTACCACCATCGTGTCGTCAGCAAACTTAATGATGGTGTTGGAGTCGTGTGCGGCCACGCAGTCGTGGGTGAACAGGGAGTACAGGAGGGGGCTAAGCACGCACCCCTGAGGGGCCCACGTGTTGAGGGTCAACATGGCGGATGTGTTGCCTACCCTCACCAGCCCGTCAGAAAGTCCAGTATCCAATTGCAGAGGGAGGTTTTTAGTCTCAGGGTCCTTAGCTTGGTGATGAGCTTGGAAGGCACTATGGTGTTGAACGCTGAGCTGTAGTCAATGAACAGCATCCTCACATAGGTATTCCTTTTGTCGAGGTGGGAAAGGGCAGTGTGGAGTGCAATAGAGATTGCGCCATCTGTGGATCTGTTGAGACGGTATGCGAATTGGAGTGGGAGGTGCAGCTGAAGGAAGAAAGAGGGGGAAAACTCAGAGGATCAGAAGGTGTGTGGGGCAATGTGTTAAAAAGCTTTGATTGAGTGGAGAATAATTGCTTATTCTGAAGTGCTCTGGTGAAATTGTCATGATAATATAAAGTTGCCGAATGGAGTGGTTACATAATTAACTCTAAACCTGAAGTCAAAATGGACTACAATAGCCTACATCAGGGGTAGGCAACTAGTCAGCCTGCGAGCGGATGGTCGGGGGACCGGAACAAAATCATTTTGACACTGCAAATTGAACACAAGTAAACACAAAAAGAGATTGTATTTGAAAATAACAATAATTTCATACCTTGATTACAGAAACACGATCACGTCTCTTTTAATCTGTAAGAAATACAACAACAAAAAAACACTTGCGGGCCTTTTTGGTCCCTCGGGCTGCCTGTTGCTGACCCCTGGCCTCTCCAAGACTGTGGTGTCAGTTAGAAAAGCTGGTGTTCTGTTCACTGCAGATCTGGCCATGGTGAATGCAGGTCTCATCCTCTGAGAAGGCCTCTATAAGCACTGCTCACATAAAAACATCTATCAGAGTCCAAAACGTGCACGGGTACGCACAGCAGTGTTCTAGAATATTGGACCACTGGCTTTCACGCGTTTGGAATTCTCATCGCAGCTCAAGCAATTTCTCCAACCGTCACCACGTTCAAATTAATAAAGGACGTGGACCTGGCTATATAGCCTGCCTGGTGGTGTTGCAGTCAACTGGGCCCCCCATTCCCTCCTCCTCCCCTAAATGTGACATTTATGAAGCGAGACTATAAGAAAACCATCTCATCTCCGGGACTTTATGTGAGAGCCTCCTCCGCGCCGCCTTTTCTTGGGTGAAGAATGAGATTTGAAGCATTGAGAATGAGTCAGCTCTGTTTGGCCATGCAGACTTCAGAACCAGATGCCGGGCCGTATAAATCACGTTTTCAGGGGGAAGAAGGAAGGCGGAGGTGGGTAAACATGCAAGAGGTAAATTACTACAACTTTGAGCCATTCCATTAACCAGCTCACAGAGGGGCCATGTGTTGAACCCACCAACGAGGGGCTAAAAACAGAAACAGGAATATCCTAGCACACCACCCGCATGTGGTCCTAATGTGCTCCTCCGGTCCACACACAGACCAGAGTAGAGAAAACAGGTTGTCATATCCTGTGTGTCTTTGTGTGTGTGTGTGTGTGTGTGTGTGTGTGTGTGTGTGTACTGTACGCCAAATGCAAATGGAGGTGAATGGGATTTAGAGGAACAACCAGCATCTGACATCATTGTTTGGCACCTGTGGGGCTGGGCAGGCAGGCAGGGAGGCAGGCCAACGAAGGGGTCAACGGGTGCCCTTTATGGAGAAGGGCACCATGGTTAAACAAAAGCAGGAGCGGCAACAGGCCTAGTCTGTCCATCTACTAGGAAGGCCTACATGCTGATCATTTTAGTAGAACTACAATACACATTGTTAGGCCATAAACCACTGCATTTGCCAAACAAGTCTAATGTGTAATTCCTGGTAGTCTAGAGCAGAGGTTCACAAACTTTTTCACTCAGGCCCCCGTTCCAGCATTGCGCCCCCCCGCGCACATGCGCCACGTCTTTTTCTATGGGCACAATCACTGTTCCTGACACAAACTGTTCACACCCCTCTTGTTGGTGGAGTGAATTTAGCAGGTTTAAAGCTTATTTTCTGCAATTCTACACATTTTGTCATGGGGTGCAAAGAACATTTAGCAGTTTTAAAGCTAGTTTTCTTGCAATTCTATACATTTTGCCAGGTCTAATGTGTATTCATGTGATATGAGTGAAAATTACAACAATATCTATGGGCAAAAGAAAACGAAATAAAAAAACGTTAGCTGACATGGGCTAGTTGATCTGGACATTTCTGACAAGTTATAAATAGCTCTCGAAGGTATGCAATGACTAACATGACAACAGGAACTGATGGCACACTATCAATTTTTGAAATTGCACCTTGTGCATTCTACTATTACAACTTTCAAGAGTAAGTATAACACCGGACTGAGTTCCTTGTGCTTCTCTCTGAAGGGACAGTTATAACTGCTATTCTGGACCTAGTCTGTGTCAACACCACCGCAAAGCCCAGGCAAATTTGCTCAAGCAGCTAGCTACACTGAGCTTTACTATAAAGACCTAGGCTCTTTGTATTCTCTCTTGTCTGAGCACAGAAAGTAAATATGAAGGGACAAAAAAATTCCAGACTTGGGTTGTTAGTTGGGAAAACGTGCAGTTAAATGTATAGCTTCCCAAACTTTGCCACCTGCCATTGGACAATAGATTGACGCTATTTAAAGAGAGGAATGTTTGAGGAGTGTGCTTCATTGCACACAGGGGACAAGACACATGCTACTTGTTTTGCAATGGTACTAAATTCTTCAAATATATTTAGTTTAGCGGGAACCAGATACTGTAGACCTCAAGTGATTGACCAAATCCATGATTTGATCCTAAAAGAGAATTAAACTATGGTAGTTCAGTAAGGACTCTGACTTCACCTCTGTTGGATTTACAGTGGAAAGTGGAGCAACATTGGATGCGAGGAATCTGCAGGAGCCACACTGTCAAATAAATTCAGGGGCCAACTCATATCACATGTGTAGCATGTTTTCAGCTTGCATTTAGCTCACATGTGGAAATGGGTAGTGAAGGGTGTCACCACTCACAGACTACTAGCATGGGAAAATGTGGTGGTAATCTAGGACAGGGGTCAAGAACATGCAGTTTGTTGGACCTGATGGTAACCAACAAATACTGGTTATCAAACAATACCTTTATAAATTTATCAAAATAAGAGTCTGAAGAATATTGACCATACCCTTCTGTAACATGTAGGCCAAATATTCAGTTTATCAAAGAAAGCAAGGGATGAGGGCATTAGAACAGAAGAGAAAGTTATCTTTAAGGGCTGAATACCAACTTAAGATCCTAACTCAAGATCTGCGTTTGTAACTTCATATAACTCATGCATTGATATCAATGGGAAACGTGTACAAAGGAATTGAGTGGCCCAAAGTGAGTGGTGGCTAAGCCATTGGTCCCAGGTTAGCCGTACCACAGTATAGGACAGCAGCACAGCGTTCCCATTCCATACGTCTCCCAGCCTATGTCTGTATAAATACAACGGCAGACAAGTAAAGAAAGACTTTGGAGACAGCTTAGACAAACAGCCAGGGAACGACTTTCAGACGTCTCAAACTTCCTACGCTCAGGAAAAAGGTGGTTAATGGGGGGGAAACAGAGACCTTTGACAACTGGGGCTGAAATAAACGACCAAGCATTGATACTTAGGCTAGCTTTAAGATATCACAAGACTGACTAACTCAATACACCTCAGTCTCTCAACAAGTGGCCTAGGGCTGATTGACGACTTCTCTTTTAAAGCTCAACTAGGTGAAGTTTCATTTTTGGGGAAAAATGGTTAAAAAACTTCAGGCCTGTGAGGCTTTTGAGGTTGTGCATGTTGTGACTGTTCATGTGGAGATACAATTTGCCAGTCTTTCAATGTGCATGTGCAGGCCAAAATGTTCAGATGTTTCCTATATACAAGTATTTTAGTGTAAGTATGCTCAGTATGAATGTAGTGCCACAAGCCCACAACTGCGTGTGATATGGTGTGTGTATGTGTGTGTTTGCTACATGCATGTGTGTGCGTATCTCACATTAGCGCGTGTGGCCAATTTCCTTTTGCAGGGAAGCGTGCTTACAGCTGCTGCGGCCCCTCTCTTATTGGGCAGGATTTACAGTGGCCCTAGCTCCCTGAAGTATTTATGTGCTCCCAATAGACCAGCTCCCATAGCCCAGGACCAGAGTCCACAACCTAGAACCTAGAGCATAGAACCCGCAGCCCAGAGCCCATGGCCCAGATCAGTGGACAGGACCAGTCCACAGACCAGAAGCCCAGGACCAAGGCCCAGAACCCCAGGACCAAGGCACAAGACCTGGGCCCATCTTCACAAAGTGTCTCGTAAGAGTGCCGATTTAGGATCAGTTTTGCCTTTAAGATCATACTGGATAAGATTATATGGACAGGGAGGATGTGATCCTAGATAACTACTTTATGAATATGGGCCCAGGGCTGCAGTCCAGGTCCAGCCAGGATGTCGACAGCTTCAGCTCTTTCAGCCCAGACATCATAGACACCACACAGGGGACTCAAGATAATGCTTCTAATGGGTTCATACGTTTTGTGCACACTAGACGTACGGGTATTTGATGAGCAAGTTAGTATTGAGATAGTCATATTAGTTTTTGAAAGAAATGGCAATCTAGTTCATTATTCTAGATCCTTATTATTCAAATTCCTTATGCATGACGTTTTATCAGCTCTAAATGGCCTAAATACCTAGATTTATTTCATAGTGGACAGTACATTAGCAAGTATTTTACATCAATAGGTCATTTTATTGATCTGGTCAAGTAGGATTTACACCTTTGGCAATTGAACAAACATGAATTCTGCTTTAAATCTTTAAAAGAGGCAATCAGCAGTTGCAACATCCATTGTTGGCCTTATAAATAATACCATCATAATAAATACCATTTAGCAGACGCTTTTATCCAAAGCGACTTATAGTCATGCGTGCATACATTTTACGTATGGGTGGCCCCAGCGGGAATCGAACCCACAACTCACAACCTTTGGCGAAGAATATAACTTATAAATGCCTCATGAGCGTAGTTCAACTGTCATACCCCATCAGAACCCAAAATATAAGCTTGTTTTGCTCCAATGTTTGTAAACAAAGCAAATGTACACAAACACTATTTAGCCTCAAAACATGTTTAAAACTATACTTTTGATATCATGGCATGTCAGTCCTTGTATCCATAGCTCTGTCTATGAGTGGTTACATTTCTCCAGCCCCATCCCTCAGCTTTTTACCAAAAAAAGGGCGGGGAATATGTGTTGTTATTGTTTCTACTGCTGATTGCTGCTTTAAGACGTAGGGTGGCGATGAAATAAGAGCTTCAATAGAAGGCTTAAGAGCAGCCACATGCAAGCACACACACACACACACACAACCACCCAGCACAATGCTAAAGCCTACATGGACGTTTGAAAAAGAGAGAACAAGTGAAAGAAAAGGAAATAGGACCACAGCATGCGCTAAGCTGGAACAGGTCTGCTGTGGAAAAACAGCAGAGGACTGCCAAAGCAGGAGCAAATCCCTGTATAGCTGGAGTAATTGGTTAGTCTCATGACAGCCAAGGCTGGGGAGAGCTGTGTTTCTATTAGCAATCCCACACAAATGCAGGGTCAGATCTGAGCAAGTTTGCATTGTTCCCTTCAACACTCCACTCCCCGCCTTGTGCTGTGCTCACACACACACACACACACACACACAACCTGGTGGCTTGATAAGACAGACATGGGTCCAAATACTATTGAACTCTTTCAAATGCGTTAAGCATTTGCTTTTTCCTGCCTGGAGAGCCAGTTGAGTGTTGGTTGTGCCAGGCAAGCTCAAACATGCACAGATAAAGTATTTGAAATAGTATTTGAACCCAGGTCAGTTGATAAGACAGCCCAGTGGAAAGACTTGGAGAAAACTTACAAGCTAGTAGTCAGACTCAAAAGAGAAGTTATAAAATATGTATCCCTGTATTGTTAGACCCGGGAGGTGTTGTTGTACCTGACTGCCAGTTCCTACCCAGACCAACTCGGTCACATTATTTGTAAGGTTATGAAAACGTCACATCATTAATAGTGAGAACGGCAATTTAATTTCACACGGCAATGAAAATATTTGAAATAAAAAAACATTTTATACGTTTAAATGTATCATCTCCGGCCAAACAATAGGCATTAATGGGTTTGAGGGGAGCCCATTGTTAAAGGTAGACTCAACAACTAAGAGCGGTGAAGCGTGAGGCTAAACTCCCCCACTGTTTTGGTCCCATACCTACCATGCTCTAACAAGCGAACCTATGCACATGCACAGATATTGTGTGGGAAATAAGTCTTGCATCTTGTTCATCGCAATATCTGCAGTGCTGCTTGTGGCAACGTAATTTAGTAGAGTCTACCTTTAACCACTAGATGTGCTGATTCAGTAATACTCACTTTCTCATGATGGACTTCCTGATGACCAGACCTTCGTCCAGGTCGGCCTCGTTGGCCATAAAGAGGAGCCTCTTTCCTGTGCCGTCCACCCCAACAAAGTCCCTCTGCTCCCCTGGGAGAAGGAAGACACCAGAGGAACAATCGCATATAAATGGCTAAGATCTCACCACACGACTAACAAGCTAGCCATCTGCCTGGCTTGTAAACTAACATCTAGGCCTACAGACATTCACTCGGTTTAATAAGACAGATTTAGAAAAAAAAATGTTGATCGCAGATTGTTACATGCGAATAAACAGTTGCTAACCGGGGAATATCCTTTTTAGTGAATGAAGCTTTGAAATGTACCATTTTAACATCCATAAAACTACTGACAGATGACATGAAGTAGTGTTGTGCATTCCCTATTTTTGGTTGACTCAAACTCAATGCAGGATCTGGTGTAATAATGCTTGTTGTGCTATAATCATCTGAATCATACCAGTTTTTTTCTTTCCCTTCTGTCCGGGGACGGTCTCGGTGAACTCATGGGCTTTGCTCATCAGCATGGAGAGGGTGGCGTTGTGGGCCCGGAACAGGTCGACCACCTCGTGGAGGGCAGCGTCCGTTATCAGGTCACAGCTCACCACCAAGATGTCCGTCTGGAGGGAGACATGGAGGAGGACCATACATTCATCAGAATTTGAGAGAGGGAGGATGAGGACCACAGAGTCTCTTTACCTCAAGACACGGAGCAGAGTTCTGTTGGTATGAAACAATACTAATGTTAAGGCAGTTAGTGGGCTTGAGAAGACGATGGGTTTTCACACGAGGATCAGGCCCCATTAAAACAGTTGTAATGTAGCACTGACACTGAGAATATCATAGATGGTATTAGTCAAAAAAGGGCATACCCGTTACCATTAGTTTATCGCCAAACTTTAAAATGAAACAAAAACAGTGATGATCTATGACAATATCCCCTTCAACTTTTTCTAAAGCATGCCCAGGACCCTTTCACATTAGAGTCCATGACATTATTCTGCCTAATAGGAAGAACACCCTTCTAACGAAATTGAATAGACATTAAGCTGTCCCTTGGCAACGCTCAATAAGTTATCACATACTCCAGCTTTGAAATAGTTTATTCCATCCAGCTTTACATTATGCTCAAAACACCCGAGCTTCTTCGCAGCTGTGACATTCATCTCGAACGATGTGCATGAACATATGAGGCAACGATGCTCCATAAAAAGTCCTTAGCGCCTGAAAAGTTTGGTCGTGTTTTTCTTAACGACAGTCACAACAAAAATGGGTTCATAAGGGGGGGGGGGGCGAAGTGGAGACAGAGATCGAGAGAGTGAGGGAGAGAGAGAGAGATCGAGAGAGGAGATAGAGAGAGAGGTGAAGAGAGATCGAGGGAGCGGATAGGGAGGGTGAACCTCCCTGATAAACATGGTGCTCTCCTAACTCCTAGCGAGGCAGCCTAGCGTAGTGTAGCAAGGGGCACGGGGGAATCAAGCGATAAATCCTACGCTGCATTTGCCATTGTTTCTGTTTGAGATGTCTGGTTCCCATCTGCTCTGGCCATCTTGGGCCTGTGGATAAATAAACAGGGAAGGCGAGTGAGGAGCGGGTCCTGTTAATGCGTGCCTGGCTCTATAAAGGCTGCATGCCTCATTGGGGAAGCCTGGGGAGAGGCCCTGCCGTAACGTTCTACACACGGGGCATGCAGCTCAGCAGTCTGGCTCTGCTCTACTCCACGGTAGCACACATGGCCAACAGATAACAACCAGGCCAGAGCCAGGGCCCCTCAACCCCACTGTCTCTGTCTCGCACTGCTACTGGAAAGAGACTACAGGAGCATCTTCTTCTGCTAATCCCTAACACTATGGTCAGGCTATTTATTTCAGACCTCAAAATACAGGTTTTAATTGTTGGAACAGATGTGTGGGGGTGGGGGTTTGGTTTCAACACTGGTTTCAACACTGAAACCATAGAAGCCTTCAACATAGAAGAAAGATTTTGTGAAGCTCTGAAAAAAAACATTCACAGTAAATCATCACAAAAGTAACTTAAAAAAAACATATATATCCTTTTGAGTGTCCCTTAGCGGCATCAGTTACATTACCACAATGAAAATAGGCTACTTTTATCATATTCAGTTCATATAACTACATATGTACAGTGCCTTCAGAAAATATTCACACCCCTTGACCTTTTCCCCTTTTTGTTGTGAAACAGCCTGAATTTAAAATTGATCAAATTTAGATTTTGTGTCACTGATCTATATACAATACCCCATAATGTCAAAGTGGAATGATGTTTTTAGAAATGTTCACAAATTAATAGAAAATGAAAAGCTGAAATGTCTTGAGTCAGTAAGTATTCAACCCTTTTGTTATGGCAAGCCTAAATAAGTTCAGGAGTAAAAATATGCTTAACAAGTCACATAATAGGTTGCATCTGTGCGATAGTAGTGTTTAACATGATTTTTGAACGACTACATCATATTTGTACCCCACACATGCAATTATCTGTAAGGTCCCGCAGTCGAGCAGTGAATTTCAGGCACAGATTCAACCACAAATCCCAGGAAGGTTTTCCAATGCCTCGCAAAGAAGGGCACCTATTGGTAGATGGGTAAAAATAAAATAAAAAATCTGACATTGAATATCCCTTTTGAGCATGGTGCAGTTATAAATTACACTTGGATGTTGTATCACTACACCCAGTCACTACAAAGATACAGGTTCCCTTCCTAACTACGTTGCCGGAGAGGAAGGAAACCGCTCAGGGATTTCACCATGAGGCCAATGGTGACTTTAATGGCTGTGATAGGAGAAAACTGAGGTTGGATCAACAACATTGTAGTTACTCCACAATACTAACCTAATTGACAGAGTGAAAAGAAGGAAGCCTGTACAGAATAAAAAATATTCCAAAACATGCATCCTGTTTGCAATAAGGCACTAAAATAATACTGCAAAAAATGTCGCAAAGACATTATATTTTTTATCCAGAATACAAAGTGTTATGTTTGGGGCAAATCCAACACATCACTGAGTACCACTCTTATATTTTCAAGCATGGTGGTGGCTGCATCATGTTATGGGTATGCTTGTCATTGGCAAGGACTAGGGAGCTTTTTAGGATAAAAAGAAAGGGAATAGAGCTAAGCACACGCAACATCCTAGAGGAAAACTTGGTTCAGTCTGCTTTCCAATAGACACTGGGAGACAAATTCACCTCTCAGTAGGACAATAGCCTAAAACACAAGGCCAAATATACAATGGAGTTGCTTACCAGGACGATATTGAATGTTCCTGAGTGGCCTAGTTAGGGTTTTGACTTCAAATCTGCTTGAAAATCTATGGCAAGACTTGAAAATGGCTGTCTAGCAATGATGAACAAAAAACTTGACAGAGCTTGAAGAATATTTGAAAGAATAATGGCCAAATATTGTACAATCCAGGTGTGCAAAGCTCTTAGACTTACCCATAAAGACTCACAGCTGTAATCGCTGCCAAAGGTGATTCTAACATATATTGACTTAGGGGGTTGAATACTTATCTAATCAAGATAGTGTTTTATTTTCCATACATAAAATAAATAAATACAGAGTATTTTGTGTAGATTGTTAACAAAAAAATGACAATTAAATCCACTTTAATCCCACTTTGTAACCGAACAAAATGTGGAAAAAGTCAAGGGGTGTGAATACTTTCTGAAGGCACTGTGTCTAATACACGGGTAAGTACATCTGGCCGTACAATGATGTATGCTGTCAACAGCTGGGATAATCCCCCATTAGCTGAAGTCACAATGTCAAAGTAAACCGATCCACTAGGCAGGTCCTAATGGTTAAACATATAGCACTAATTTCTATTTTTGAGTCCCAAGTTAACCAACCATCAAAAGTAGCAAACATCCCTTTGTTGCAGCCGGTCGTGAGGGAGCTGTCTGTCTGTCGCCCCACACGCTGTCCGGTCGGTGGGTTGGTTGGTGGGTCGGAGGCGCACTGACGACTGAAGGTAGTCTGAGCCCTATGTGTTGTTCAAAAGTAGTGAGCTAGATAGCGAGTAGGGTGCCATTTGGGCCGCAGTCTGTGTGACACTGGAATGGTGTCAGCTGGAGGATCATCTGACAGGGTTTGTGGCCATTCAGCAGGCCTGATCTCTGGTGGTTAGGTCAGGGCCACCCACACACTGCCTTCCTCCCCTGCCTGGTTCTGCCTGGCTGCCCCAAGGCCCTGCTCCCCTCCCAGACTCCCTCCCAGCCAGGTGAGACCACCCTGAATGTAGCACACTGCAGAGAGGAGAGGAGAGAGGGTGTGTCTATCTGACAAGAGGGCTGTCTCCACACAGTCCATAGACAGACACACACACACACCGCAAGCACACACGCTCACTGAGCAATCAGCCAGACACCTCTGGTTTCAGCAGTTAGGCTAAGTCTCTGCTGAGCACTGTCAACTTGACATTTACAATTGTAGCGAGACATTCCAGTGACAACTGATCTCGATTTAACAGTTTGGGTTATGTGTGCGTTTGACATGAAGAAAATGTTTATACTATTAAAATGAATAATGTGGAGGGATGCCCTCTTCAATATGCATTTTGTACATACTATACAAATCATGTAGATGAGGCTACGGAGTCTTTCCATGTCATTACAGCAAGCCATGACACCCAACATTATAGCTTGTTTCTGTATTTAGAAACAGGTAAGATTGGCATTCCTGAAACATTTTATTTCATTACATTTTAATCTCAGAGAAATTAAGCTAATAGATTGCACCCAAATTGGCCATTTTAATTTATAGGATTCAGATAATATCCAATAAATATAGTACCCAACTTCTTCCTACTGAGTAAGAGCTGAGGAATCCCCCCAAATAATCAAAAGCCACCCACAGACGCACCGCACCCCATGCCTATCCCACTCCGCAGTGCATTCGGAAAGTATTCAGACCCCTTGACTTTTTCCACATTTTGTTACGCTATAGCCTTATTCTAAAATGGATTAAATCTACACACAATACCCCATTATGACAAAGCAAAAACAGATTTTTTGAAATTTGAGCAAATTTTTTTTTTTTACTCAGTACTTTGTTGATACACCTTTGGCAGCGATTACAGCCTCGAATCTTCTTGGGTATGACGCTACAAGCTTGGCACACCTGTATTTGGGGAGTTTCTCCCATTCTTCTCTGCAGATCCTCTCAAGCTTTGCCAGGTTGGATGGGGAGCGTCGCTACACAGCTATCTTAAGGTCTCTCCAGAGATTCCCGATCCGGTTCAAGTCCGGGCTCTGGCTGGGCCACTCAAGGACATTCAGAGACTTGTCCCGAAGCCACTCCTGTGTTGTCTTGGCTGTGTGCTTAGGGTCGTTGTCCTGTTGGAAGGTGAACCTTCACACCAGTCTGAGGTCCTAAGTGCTCTGGAGCAGGTTTTCATCAAGGATCTCTCTGTACTTTGATCCGTTCAGCAGGCTTCCGTCTGGCCACTCTACCATAAAGGCCTGATTGGTGGAGTGCTGCAGAGATGGAGAAGGTTCTCCCATCTCCACAGAGGAACTCTGGAGCTCTGTCAGAGTGACCATCGGGTTCTTGGTCACCTCCATGACCAAGGCCCTTCTCCCCCGATTGCTCTGTTTGGCC